AGAAAAACTGTGATGATAGTCTAAATGAGCTACTATGAGAAAAGAAGATTCAGAGAAGAACGGAGCTCCTAGAAAGCTAAAGTATAAAAGCAGAGGGGTGAACTCAACTGATGGCTTATAAAGTGGAGAACATAGAACAGGCAGACTTGGACTCGGGAAAAGAAATAGATGAGAAGAAATTGTCAAGTCAGAAAAAATTATTAGCTTCAAAAGATGGGAATCTCTAGAGCAGCAGTTTCTAATGAAGACCAAGAACCCTGAGAGGAAAAAGAGCCAGTTGGATCAAATCACCATGCGATTCATAGTTCCAAAAATACAGTGAAACCCTAACCTAAAAACTTTCAAAAAGAGGAAACCAAAGCTAACCAAAGCAAGAAGCAGCAGCAGGGCCTATAAAAAGAATTGGCATCAGTCCTGCATGATGACTTTCCAAAAGCCTCTTGGAAGCCAGAGAAACACAGCAGCAGTGATTCCAACTTAGAATTTTCTGCCTCAGTAAACTGCCAGAAAAGGTATGTTTGGAATAAAAATCACAGAATACATATAAAACACATGCAAAATATATAGTCAATTAACTTCCTGAGAAATCTTTCACAAGAGTGACAGAATAAAGTCAGGATCAAAAGTAAAGTTCTAAGCCCCACAAGCCTTAGAAGAAGGGGCACCTTCATTAAAGGAGGCAATAGAATCCAGAGGTTATTTCCTGCCTTTGGCTATATGAAAAAAAATCACACTGAGATGCCATTAGAGTCATTGGGAAGCATTTGTGGTAGATTCATGAGGATTTAACTAAATAAATAGGAATTGCAGTAATCAACAAATCAGAAAAAATTCTGTTAAGGAAATGCAATTATGCTGTATAACATATTCATCAGCATGCAATACTTACATTGCTGGGACCATTTAAGAACCAGATTGTTTAATAAATATTTTATATGTTTACATAAATATGCATATATATATATATATATGCTGGGGTGCTTGGCAAAGAGGGAAAAGATGGGCCAAGTATGATGTGAGATTGCCATTGGTTGAGTCCTAGGCCTGGTACAAAAGTGGTATGAATAGAGTGTGAGTAAAATATGATTAGAAGCCAGGCAGGCTGGGGTCAGGCCCAAGAGCTTTATGTTCAACTTTTGGATTGGTTCATGAGGGGCCTAGGAGACAGGAAGGGTTGTTTTGCTTCAGTGCTTGAGGAGATAGGTCGTCATGGTGGGCCAGGCAGCCGGAGCAGGAGGCAGCTGGTCACACTGTAACCATGGTCAGGAAGCAGAGAGAGATGAATGCTGGTGCTTACCAGCCTTTCTCTTTCTTCTTCTTTTTATTCATTCAGGTCTCCAAGCCCAAGGGATAGTGCCACCCATACTCAGCATGGGTCTTCCCTCCTCAGTTAAATCCTCCTGCATGTTCATCTTATAATATGAAGTGCATGTGGTCTCTTTCTAAAAGTCTCCAAAGTCTTAATTGTCCTACTACTGTGTTAGATGAAGATCTTATGTAATATTTAACATAGTAAGACATCAGTAGAAATATTTTGAAGTATATAAAATGGAAAAATAGCATAAGCACAATAATGAAGAATGTGAAGATCCATTTCAAAAGAAATATTAGGAAATGTTGGCTTTGTTGCCTTTGGGGGAATTCTTCTGCATATAGAAAAAGGAATTACGCTTTTAGTTATAAGCACTGCTGTTTTGTCTTATTCAATTGTGGGTACGTTATTTTGAGAAAATAAACTAAAAAGTTTAGGAATATTAAACTTCTTTGAAAATTACATTTTGGCTTTGTGTTTGTGTTGGGAATCATCGCCATGAGAAATATAATTATCGACTCCTGTGATTTTGTTCTGAAGCTTCGCTGACTGTGAAAGTTTTGCTAGCAAACAAATAGAAAGTCTGAGGATGGGCAGGGTCAGAATGTGAATATTTTTATAGACACATCGTTACTGCTTTCTACGTGTAATGCATCTCATGCGTGTGAGGACCAATGGCTTTTTGTCTTTCGGATGAGATTAAAATACAGTATTCAGCAGCAGAAGAGCATGGAGTCCAGTCTTGAATAACGTCAGAAGTCAAGTTGTAATAAGTGATTTGGAAAGTTGCAAAAATTTCAAAAGAAAAGATTAATAAACTTCAGCTATATTGAAAAATCAAGCATCTTTGAAAGTAAGCATTTCAATATTTTGGTAGAAATGAAGACAGTATCAAGAGAATAGGTCTAATATAGTTGAAAGGATTTGGATTTGAAGTCAAGAAGGTCCAAATTTGAACTTTGTGTCCTCTTACCATTTTGTGACTTTGGTGGCACTCTTTTTCTCAACATGTTTTCTTATCTATAAACTGAGAATTAAAACATTAAGTTTAGAAGACAATTATATGGGCTGGATAGATGACTCAGCAGTTAAATGTGCATATTACTCATAGAGAAACAGACATTGGTTTACAGTTCACAACTGCTTATAACTCTGCCTTCAAGGGATCCAACGCCCTCTTGTAACCTTCACAGGCACCTGTGCGCGTGTGTGCACGCGCGCGCGCGCACACACACACACACACACACACACACACTAAACTCTTTTTTTTTTTTAAAAAAAGGGACAATTACAATGACTTCTTTGCGTTGACAGCATTGTGTAAATGTAAATAGGCATTATTAAATCAAAAGTTTTCTTTATCCATTAATCTGTTGATGGACATCTAGACTGGTTCCATTTCCTAGCTCTTGTGAAAAGGTTCAGCTATTAAACAACAAATGAAGCTTTGAAATGAATCCATGGGAGATAGGAGTTAGAGAGTTTGCAATGTTACTTCTACAAAAATCTACGTGAATATTTGGACATGGCAGAAGCCAATTGATCTTTACATTTCAACTTGCTTTACCATGGAATTTCAAGAGTTAATCCTTGTAATTCTTGTATACAAATTATATTAGCACATTAATTCTTATATAAGTAACTAGAATTTTGTGTTTTGTGAAATATTTATTAACATTTTCATTAATTTCGTGATGCTTTTTAAGTGTTGTTGTTGTTATCCAATGTGGCTTTGTATATTGAACCAATAATGAATTCTCTGCTCACCTGCCATTAGCTCCAGCCATAGTTTGCCCTTGATGCTTTGCTTCAGATCTCCTGGGCTCTTCCCTCAGTCTAGCTCATGCCCCTCTGTACCTCTGAATAAATGGCCTTAGGCACTGCATAATTACAGAGTGAATTCAGTCCTCTCATGGCGTGTAAAGTTACCAGTGAGGTTCTTGTATTGTGAGAAATTATTTATCTTTTAGACTGCCTGTACTAAATCTAGCTTATGGTAGATGAGCTAATAAGCTTCTCACAGCCTGTCTGGGTCCCTGGAGTTCCTTGGACTTTTGTTTATTATGCTTTTTTCTTGTGATGCCTGACAATATGGTCAAGATTATAAACTTTATTTAAAAGGCACACCTGCTATTATGCAACTAGTTTTGAAAACAGAGTATCGTATACTTTTTAAATTGACAAAAAAATCCCCAAACATATAACAGCCTTTTCTCTTAAGAACATTTAAATGCTATTAAACAGACTATTTAGGAAAAAAATTAGATCTCACCAAAACATAAGTACTGAACCTAAAAGATAATGGAGTTTTTGAAGAATATAATTGAACTATGAAATACTGGCTCATAAAATTGGCTTCCTTTATTCATTAGTTTTTTTGTTTTGTTTTGTTTTGTTTTGTTTTGAGACAACATCTCTGTGTAGCCCTGAGTGGCCTGGACCTTGTTATGTAGACTAGGCTAGCTTTGAACTTACAAAGATCTACCTGCCTTTGCTGGGGTTAAAGGTGTATGCCACCCTGCCCAGCACCATTACCCATTAGTATTTTTAAATGTTATTGTTAGATTGTGGAGTGAATGGATTTTTAAAATAAAAATATCACTTTGTTTTTCTTTTGTTTGTGCTCCCCAGCACAGAGATTTGCATATGTTAGCAAGTTCTCTACTATTGAGCTACAACCCCAAGTCTGTCATCCCTCAAATATCATAGTCTTCATGTTGGTGTTTAAAGAAATTATTTCTGAAGAGGTTACTTTCTGTAATAATGGTAAATGTTTATGTCGCAACCTTGAGGCTGACAGTGTTCAGAACATGTAATGCCTTCCTGGTGTTGCAAAATGCTCCAATTATTAATTCTCTGAATCATCACCTTTGCCCTATCTGGTAGACATGCAGACGGTAAGTGACTTATGTGTCACACTGTTAATAATATGAGCTAGCTGACTTGAGTGTAATCCATCTAGTTGTAGAGCTTTTTGTTATGTTAGCTATCTCAGGCAGCTTTTGGCCTTTCTTTGGCTGACTTTTGTGTTCTCAGATCAACATAGCTGACTCTCAGTGGATGGTTCTTTAAATATGATCACACAGCTGGATTTACTTAGAAACATTCTATTGTGATAGGAAAATGGTTCTCTTTCTACATACATTCATGATTAACACAGCTTAGTTCTGTGTAAAAATCATTTATTTTGCATAGATACTGGGTTTTTGGCAGTGGATTTGCATTGATTATTCTTTTTGATTGCTTTATGGACAGCATTTGTCTAATACTTGAAGGGCTGTGTTCACTGACTAAATCTGAAGGATGCCTAGGAAGGTTAAGATTGTAATCATTCTCTAAATATTTAAGAAACTTGACACCTCTAGCAGCGCTCACTGAAGCCCTGTGCACCGTGAAGAGAATACCGTGGAAATGAACTCTAGGCTGTGGAGCTTCCCAAGCAGAACAGGTCATTTAAATCAAGGCCCCCTGGGAAACACAGTTTCTTCCAAGAGCACCCAAAGCAGTAGTTGGTCTCATCACTCTCAGTTGTCGGTCTCCAGATTCCCAGGCTCCCAGTATCACTGTGGGTGAGGTTTTAATGTTTTCGTATCTGTGTATTTTTAATTTTAGGAAAACTGGTCTTGTAGTACACAGGAGCGTTTCTCATGAAGATGCAGGTACTTTCTTACTCTTCTGTTTTGTTTAGATGAGTAATGTGACAACGGACCATTGTCTTGACATCATAAAGAAGTTTGAAGTTTCAGCAGAAAATAAAGAGAAAAATATCCTTGGAATAGAAGGTAAAATAACCAATAGCCTTAACTGATCATTTATTTTTATTCAGTCTAAGTTAAATTCCAGCACTATTTTTAAGAAGTAAAATCAGGAGATATTCGAGAAATTTCAGGTAATTTAAATAAATCCCACAAAGCATTTATTTTTCTACAAAACAGAGTCTCTGATGTTGCTTTTTCTCTTATTTTTGCAATTCCCTTTGAGCTACTATTGTGTATGATGACTGCCAAGAAATGTTTGGACTTTTTCTTAAATGGCTAGTTTTTGGAAATAATCATATCCTGAAGATTTCAGGAAGAAAAATTTGGCACCAAATAAATAATCTATAAAACTAGTGACTTGAAAATAAACATGTTTCTTTACAGCATGTTAGAAATTGATTCATTTCTCTTAACTGGTAGCATTATAGATACTGTTAGAACCACAAGTCTTGTCAATAATACTATGCCCTATTTTATAGCTGAAGAAGGTAAGATGAAAGAAATTAAATAGTTTACTTACAGTTATGTACTTAGAATCTAACTACTAGGATGTTATACATAAATAATATGGTGTAAATAGTGCTACGTGTGTGTGTGTGTGTATATATATATATATATATATATATATATA